CCTCGCGATTGCTGAGCAAGAAAACGACACATTCATATTCCAATGCCGAGGTTAAGAGAAAGTCGATCTTGGGAACTAAATGATAAGCTTTATGACAACATCTGGCGGAGATGTTTTCATGTGATCAGAAGAATTCTTTATGGAATAAATTTACCTGATTTTTATCATCGAGAGTACTGTAGGAAGCGTTTAGAGCTTCGTCATGATTAGCATCCAAATAGTACCATCCTACGCCCTTTCCTATTCCTGGGATCGAGTCGTCTTCTTCCATAGGCATTTTGTATGCGATGAACCTGAATTTTTTTGCATTTGCAGAGAAAAACATCGATCAATCCTTGAAATCTATCGCTTATTGTGTTTCCAATCATTCGATTTTAATGCGCCGAGCGAAATACCACCAATCCGTGGAAAAGGAGTGGTCCGCAATTAAATTAAAAGTAAGTTAGTACTAAGAATTGTTGTAGCCGTTCTATTTGCTAAGAGGTCTATATTAATTCAATCCATGAAAACCAGGGTCTGCTTGAAGTGACAACCTAGAAACTTCCTCAAACAGGTTTCTAGGAATTTCAAGAAATAAAGGTCTTAGATGGCGAAATACTATGCAAGTGGACATTGCTAAGTGCATCATACAATTTGTGGAAATGAACACATTAATCTAATAGAGTAAAGTTACTTCTATAAGATTGTAGAAAATAGGGACGCTGCACTGGCTATGCAGTGCTCAGTTGCATTTGGATTTTGTTAAAATATGAATAACTAAAAAATAGAACAGATAATACTAAATTTATCTTGTTCGTCTAGAAGAATGAATGCCTATGCTAGAATTCATAAATTATACATGTAGAGTGGAGGAAGGCTTCTGAAAAAGAAAAAATAATGAAAATTAGATTCAACTGAATTACCAGTCCACATTCTGATTGTGTTGATCCTTACAAGAGAAAGAGAAGACCCCATTGACGAGCAACAACGAAAGAAATACACCGATCATCTGCAGAAAACAGTGCGAAAAAAGCTTATTATGTAATCTATTAGTTTAACAGCGATGTCCAAGAACACTCAACAAGAAACAATGACTTTTAATAAAATAGTTTCAACTGAAAAAATCGACTAGATGAATAACAGCATGGAGTTATTCAAAGAGATCTGAGTACTTTTTTTATTGGGATACACATCACTGACCCACTAACAAGGCCTGTACGCTCCTTACTGATTTGATAAGATAGTATTCACTTGCACATATGGTAGAGATTATTTGGACGTGCCTTGCAATTTTGAAACTCTATAACTGCGTTCCAGAATGCTGAATGTTTAGGGAACGATGAAAATGAAAACTATAGCATCGTGATTCACCAACAGATAGTCATGAATGGATGCTGTTGAAGCTGTTGGTGATCAAACTACACACCCGTTTGTTTAAAATTTTTTTACAAGTGGAAGATTTCGTTAGTGATGGCTAAAGTTTGCAAAATCCTTCGTAAGAAAAAACGAAAGGATTTTAGTGACTGCAAGAGTAGGAGGAATTGAGATTGTAGAAGTTCTTGCATATAATTTAGCTTCGTTCTTCAAATGGAACAAAAGCGATCTGGATATACAGGGCAAATTTGATTTATCGAGAAACTGCTTTCGAATTTCTATCCTTTAGCAATCGCGTCAGAGTAAATACTGGAGTTACCTAATGCCGTAGAAGGTTCCTATTTTCAAGGTGTACACACTTGCAGCCGTCTCTATGGGTAACGCCTGCAAGTAGTGAAACGAAAACAAGTGGAAGAAGTGGTGGTGGTCATTCGATGTGTGTGAAAGGGTATCTAAGCATCTAAGTAGGTGAACTACAGTCGTAAACTTTTCTAAAAGCACTGTTAGCTGCTAACCACATACTCATTTATTAATAAACAGTTTTCACTAAAGAGAAACGTCATTGACAATCCTTATTGTTCGCCGAAAAAATTGTGAACTTGTCTTACATAAAGTCCAAAAACTGAAGAAAACACATTTTTATATTAGCTTTTCACTTCAGCTCCCCTTTTAGCGAAGTGCGAAGCAGATGTGGTGTTAGTTTAGAACAAAGGATAAAGCTCCCAGCGTTGATCAATCCTTGAGGGATGCGCCATGCATTCGACTTCATTAATCATCGTTTTGAGGTAACTGAATGCATATCTGGGCTGTACAATGACTCACGGTGGCCTACCGATGTATCCAGCCAGTGCTGCTTTCTTCCCAGACAAGTCTGGCAGCAACTGCCGACCCCGGAAGGATGGAAGAGTTGGCGAGTGGAGGGTGTGGAGATCGATTCCACGTGAGTGTTGCAGGGCTCCTCCGACCACTGCGCTACGCGCGCTTGGCGTTAGTTTACACCTGCTTTGTACTTGTGATTCGTTATATCATGCCGGCTCTTTTCAAAAATTAATTGCTTACAGCGTTATCTTTGTAGAAAAAGACGGCTTTGAGCACTCATTAGAAATCCTTCGTATTCTTCTTGAGCAAACGCGAGGTGTAATTTTTATTCTTCATTCACGAATGAGCTGACATTTCGGCGGATTTCGCGTTCCTCAGAGCTTGGAAGGGTCAAGTTGACAGCAACCTATTCGGCCAAACAACTCCATAACCAAACAAGGAAAGCGCTAAACCAAGATTTCAATCACATTGAACACAGCTTTGCACACTCACCGCTTTCTATGAGGCTTCCACTGACTGTGTCGCGTGAAGACCAACCACACAGAATTCACATGGAAGAGTAATGTGCCCTCCCATCAGAATAACAGGCCTATCCAATCACGCGTGATATTGAGACACTCTTTCCTGCGGTTCATTTTCGGATTTCTGGAATTAATCCAGAACTCCTCGAGAGTTCAGTGCGCTCGCGTTTTCGACTGCTGTGCGAGGGTCGTCACTTTTGTTTCAAAATCTTCATCATTATGTCTCTGCGTGCTACACGTGCCTAGTGGGGTACTTGGTTTAACTTTAACTTTACCGAATAGGTGTTCTTTTATAAGGACACAGAGGGGTCTGCCCGTTTCGCCAATGTATTCGTCTCCGCACGCCTTACAGGGGATCAAATAAACTGTACCCGAGCTCATGCATTCACCGTCTATACCATTAGAGCAAATTATGCAATTTTGTATTACACATAGACGGTCATATCGGCGGTTACGAACTAGCTGGCGGCTAAGGTTACTCGGTGGTATTTCAACTACGTTTACCGAATTCTCTGACCCACCCTTCTTAAGCAGCGTTTTATAGCTGCCCTTACATCATTTGAGATGAAGGGTAGGACAAACAAGACGTTTTTATCGCTAGAGTTGTTGTTTTGGGACCTACGATTTTTCCTACACCTATCCCGAGCTACAGATTCGTAGCCATTAGAAATTGCTATTTGCCGCACCAAGTTCCGGGACTCCTCTCTCTGCTCTCTTCCCGCACACACGTTGATTGCTGTTTGAAACATGTTTCTTACAAGCGCTCTTTTTGTGTGTGAAGGGTGAGAGGAAACGTAATGAATAAGTGTTTTTGCTATTTGGCTTTCGGTACCATTTCTTAATGTAGCCGCTTTCTGATAGGTTGATTTGCATGTTCAGGAATGGAAGCCAGTTTTTTTTTCGGTTTCTCTCGGGTGCACTTGATGTACTCTGACTGTTCATTCAACAACTCGAAACATTTGTCTATTTCCTCTTGTGTTGAGCAAAGGAAAAAGCAGTCATCTATATATCTACAGTAAAGTAACGGCCCGAGATCGGTCACCGGTGCTTCCACCTTAGACATAAACGTAGTGGCAAGACTTGGTGCCAGTTGTTGTCCCACTGCCAACCCTCTTGTTTGAGCGTAGTACTTTCTGGACCATCTGAAGATTGAGCAGCTCAAGCATTCTTTTAAGAGTGCCATCAGGTGCTCTATCCTGAAGCCATACATGTTTATTTCTTCCTCGTGTTGTATAAGGAGTTCGAATATGGCTTGCATTGCGGAGTCATTCGACACGTTTATATAAAGGGCGGTAACGTCGAAGGACTCCATCACGTACGCGCTGCTGGGCTGCGCAGTACGTAGACGATCCAGAAACATCTGGGTATTCGTAAGATGGGCTGGAATGTGTTTCAGTAGTTGGTTAAATATTAAGGTTAAAAAGCACGTTATCCTATCCGTTGGCCCGTCTACACAGCTAATGATAGGTCTAACCTTAAATAGTGATGGATCGCTAGACGCAAGATCATAGCTGGTTACTAACTTATGAGTTTTTATAAGTAAGTGCAAGACGGGACATTTTGGTAAGTCAACTTTTAGTTGAGAGACAATTGTTGGTTTTAACCCAGCCGCTCTTGCTATTTTAACCGATTCGTTGTTTAACTTTTGGTATTGACTTTTAAATTCCTTCTCAGACGTAGGGGTTACGATCCTCACGCAGGAATCGAGAGCACGAGCGCCCAAACTCTCGAGGCATTCTGGATTAATTCCAAGAATCCGAAGATGAACCGTAGGAGAGAATGCCTCATTGTCACGCGTGATTGGATAAGCCTGTTATTCTGATGGGAGGAGCACATTGCACTTCCATGTGAATTTTGTGTGGTTGTTTTTCGCGCGACATAGTCACTGGAAGCGTCATAGAAAGCGCTAAGTGAGCAAAGCTGTGTTTAATGTGGTTGAAATCTTAGTTTAGCGTTTTCTCTGTTTGGTTATGAAGGTGTTTGGCCGAATAGGTTGCTGTCAACATGACCTTTCCAGGCTCTGAGGAAGGCGAAATTCGCTGAAACGTCAGCTTATTCGTGAATAAAGAACAAAAATAACACCTCGTGTTTGCCCAACAAGAATACGAAGAATTACTTGTTCAATGCCGAGGCTAGTAGAAAGTCGGTCGTGAGTTACTAGCTAGAAAAATGTTACTATTCCATATGCTTACTAATTTACGAGCTGTATTCTGGCACAGTCATTGGTATTGCTCAATTTGATGGAAATGGAAAATCCGATTATGCATTGAACTCACAGTACAAAGAAAAAGGATTTCAGCTAGTATTGTGCCTGACAGTTATCTTTTAAGTAAACAGTCAAGCAGAAATTAATGCAGGAAGCCAAATAACCACTTAACTAAGGAACATATGTATAGAATAGATACGGAGCACTTCACTCTCTATTTCTGATTCCTGAGAGGTAAACACTGCTCATGAAATGGTTTCAAATTTTAGCGGTTCTATTGACAAAAAGAATCGTTGGTTTGATTCCACGTCCATTCCGCCAGGCCTCCTATCCATGTGGGATCACAAAGTGGCACCAGATTTATCTGTGACCAGATTCCTCCCTGTGAACCACCTAGCACGGCTATCCCAGAATTAGAAAGAGAATTGACACGACCAGCATTCAATGCATTGATAACGAATATAACAAAAAGGGAGGTCCTCAAGCAGCCGCTAAACCTTGCGCAAAACAGTTCAGTGACCTTAGTGCATTATGAGAGCGAGGAAACATATTGAATGAAAGAAGAGCCGAGATTTACAGAGCAGAAATAAAGGCGAAGAAATTTAACTGAGCCAAAGGGAATCACATAGACTTCTTCTCTCTAGGAATGTCTCTTAGCCATAATGTGCTAATGCCTTGATGTTGATAGAGGACATTATCCGCGATTGTTTTATCTTTCACATTTCTGATGTGTTCACCAATCCTTCCATCACTCCGGAATCGGCAAGTTTGTACCAAACCTGTCTGGGAAGAGAGGGAGATCAGCACTGGGTCGATACATCGGCAGGTGAACACGAATGATTGCACAGGCCAGATATACATTCAATCGCCTCCAACGATGCTTAATGAAGTCGAATGCATAGAGCATCCCTCAGGGATTGATCAACGCCGAGAGCTTTATTCTTTATTTTATCCTTAGACATTTCTGTGTTTCACACTACGATTGCTGTATTAATATAATGCATCCAAAGGTCAAATTATTCCAATTTGAAAAACCTCTGGAAAACAAAAACGTCCGCGCACTAGAAAGAACCCATTTTTACGAACTTTCACTAGAATATCTATTGATCTATGTTATGCAACATAACTACTAAGTAGGTCGCAATTGCTCAAGCGATACGGTCGTCGTCATAATTCTACTAGGGCGACCTTCCCTATTTACTTGTTTTGACAAGAAGATTGGCATAAGGTACATAACGTAACTTATCGGTCTGTGCTATGGCATATTCATACTCCTAGCTGGGCATCCGAATAGAAACGCCGAACTCATTCTCAGCAAAGGTGGTCTTACTAAGCTAATGGTCACCACCGACGAACATTGTAATCCGACAACCAAGAAAGCCACCTCAGCATCTATGATGTCAATTAAAATTCAGCTACTTACATAAATTTTTTGCCACAAAATAATCCTAAACCCGGCACACATCTACAACAAAGTAAGGAAAAATCCTGATTTAAAGTTTATTGACTTTCCATGCAGAAATTCGCATCGAAAATAGCTTGCATCGGTCTATGTGAAGTTATACACGGTGAAGCTTTCTTTTTTCTTGAAACAACAAACTAACGTTAAAATCAATAACAACGTGCAAATATTCTAAACATAAATATTTATAAATTTACGGGCTGTATAGATGGCAAAGCACCGAAGAAAAAGAATAGACGACAATAGATCGGTACCCTACACCGCTTGAATTCAACTGTTAACAGTTCATCAATACAATACAACTGAGGGAATAGGTAAACTTATGAAGAACAATGATGAGAAGACATAAAAAAAAACATTATGAAGGATTACGTAACAACAGCGGTCAGCTGAAAAGTGAGAAAAGAAGAAAATAAGCGCATGCACTGCTATGCAAACCTGAGGTTATCTCTCACAGCAGAGTTTACCAGCAAGGTTAACGTCAATTTTGAAAGAACAGCTAAAACAAAACTGTTTCAAAAAAAAACTATACATCTGACTGGTCTTCTTAGATCTAGTGTAAACAGTGAAAAAAAATTTGAACATATCAGAATGTTCGATTTATAAGAATACACTTGAACGATTCAACTGGATTCAACGATGTATTTGAATCTAAATGAGGCCTTCTACGGCTGGTGGTTGTAGGTAAGGTAAATCTTTGGCGTGGTGTAATTCTTCAAACTGCGGACGATATTCGCCATGATTTCGTCGTCGATCGCGAATCGCTCGTGTAACGAAAAATGCAGCGACTGAGACGAGAACAAGAAGCAGCTGAAAACGAGAACTGCAATAGAAATAGCTACGCCTTTTAATAAAGGAATTCTGCAGTTGAAACATGGTAATGAGAGGTTGGTTTGCAATTTAATATCATGTACTACTATAGTCCCACTATACTTGCTAACCACTGAGCACGATATTAGTATCTAAATAGCTCATCCAAAGAAATCATTAACGCAATTGCAACTGTCACCTATAAAAATGATGGCGTTGGCTCGACTGCATGCTGTTTGAGGATTTGTCATCGTATTCCCCCGTCATAAGGTAAATATTGGTTGAAAGTGATACCAGTCTGAATTAAAGACAGCAATGCTAGGCTACTTTTACATCTTCAAAACTGGTAGTATCCCTTGTGGATCGGAAATAAATTCGCTGTATTGGGAATTCGATACTGCTAGTCTTGTGAGGACGACGAATAAGCGATGTAATAAGCCGAGTAGACGGACAAATAAGATATAGAAAAAAATTGCTCGGTCAAGGTAGTATTTGTTTCAAAATGTAAGTATAATCATGGGGAGCGGAAGCGCAGTGGATACTGTGCAGACCAAGCGTGGTCGCTAAATCAACCCGTCCAAGGTGGACAAAACCAAGCCACCGGGATCGGCAGACCGGTACCAAAGTTCTTTGCGAAAAGCTCCCTTCAATCCAAAAGGGTGCAGAATTGTCTGGACTAAAAATATGCGAATGCTTTAGTCGTTCTACCATAAAATTCCAGGAGGATTCGACAAATTTGAAAACTTCGGTGGGCGACGGATACCGGAGAACGGACCAGATGAAAAAAGTGTTGAGATTCACACAAAATCTTAAATCTGATGAGATAAATACGAAAAAGTAAGCAAAATCTAAATATAACAGTAGCCAGTAAGTATGTGACAATGTAAAACGACTTCTCAAGAGCAAAAGATATTCGTAATTTAAAGTCAGTAAACTCACAATCACACCGATCACAATAAATGCAATTGATAAGCCACCCAGGCCAGTAGTTTTCTGGCTTGCAGCCGTGGTGGAAATAATGTTGCTAGTGGTCCTCATCAATCTATGAGGGTGTCCTGACTAAGGAATCCTGTAGAAAACGAGCCGAATGACTCTAGGGCACGGACAAGCACACAATCACTCCCTGTCGGGAGTACAACGGCCTACGACGATCAGTCGTAAAGTCGTGCCTGAAAGAAAACATGGATGAACAATTGTGTTTGATACCACATATCGTGATGGAATCACAAAAGTATCTAAATAATTAATTAAAAGCGGTTTTGAGGAAATAAATCTTTTCTAAATAACAGAGGAGCACAGGTTTCACAAAACTTTGTTGCATCGATAAAAAAAACCGTGAAAAGATGGTGAGAGAACGATGACAGTATTATAGCTAAGGAACAAGACGAAAAAATCAAACAAGCCATCCACAAAGAGTCATAGAGTTACAGCATGCATTTTTAATTGGCAAATATTCTCTTCCCAAACAAAGGCTCATTCAGCGTAATATATCGAAACTTTTAGTTACTGCTTCTGTCGACAAATCAACCAACAAAACGCTCCGGATAGACTAAACCACGCATAACTGGAAATCACATATTGTCTCTTACTTCACATCAATTAATACTTCATTATTTCACTAGTTAATATTTCATTATTTCTTTAATTCATATTCCACTCACTTCTTATTCTTAATTTTTCTGCTACCTCTTAAAATTATTGCTTATCGCATTAATAATATCTCAAAGCTGACAGGATTTCCAACCTAAGCTTCCAATTAAGTCGTGCGGGCAGCTTTCATCTAAACATGTCTTGTACTTATCATGTATTTGTGATCGTTATCTCTGTCACGTAACCTATTGTATCGCAAACTACTTAACACAACTCCCGCATGCCTGCTCTGCATTAATACTGTTTTTTAACCAACAGTCACGCAATCAGGGAAGGCAAAATTGTTTGTTATACTGACCTAGCGACCTTCACCATGTTCTTGGATGTAGTCACGCCCTCTAGAGGTAGCACATGCTTTTTGACGAGGCATGAAGATCGCTGTCGCCATTTCCCATCACTTAATCCTCCCTGCTTAATATTCTCGCTTCACAACTAATTCGATTTGCCTAAGTCGGAATAATGTTAAATATAATTCCATACTCTTACATCATTAACATATTAACGTCATCGTCAATTGTCATGTAACCACGACATGTTGTTATTGTAACATTTATCTCAAACACTTGCACGGTTTTTGAGTAATCTACAATTCGCAAAATCTTCTTCGTTTTTCGTTGCTAGCGTAGCCTCGTAATTACTATCTCAATCTTGTACAGTGGTCATGTAAATACTTAAGTTGTGGTTATACTAATCACCTGTATCAACTGTAGCCCCATTGATCGACGAGTGACTCGAGCGGGCGCCAGTAAATCTTCCAATTTTCCCTGTCGCGTACAAGAGTAGCCCCGTGGGTTTTGCTCGTTCTAGGGACTCGTCGAGCATCATATCCTTCTTCAAAGCTCTTTGTGAAGAACTCTGACCATCGGGTCGGTGGTCTTCCTGCAGTACGTTAGAGATCCTGACAAATCCAGTCACTAACAGCTTTTGTCAATAGGTTATCACTCATACGCATCACGTGTCCGGCACACCTTATCTCCAACTATTTGGCGTACAAAACGGCATCTTTGAATTTTGATTCTTGACGCAGGTCGGAGCTTCGAATCACATACCTTACTTGTGTGAAACGGGATACTCCAAGGACCGCCTTTCTCGACTGCGCGTTCGATAACGCTAAGTGATCCTTCACCCTGCTTACGCAACGACCAGGTTTATGACGCATACGTGCAGGAAGTACCGTTGAGTCGAAAAGGTGGGCACAGAGTCGGGTGTTCCTTCTTCTCTTTACTACATCCTCGATGCTCTTGGAAAGTCCCCAAGCCTCTCGTTTGCTTCTGTTCAGTTTTGAAGCCAGGTCGTTCATAATATTGATTTCCCGACCTAGATAGATATAACTGAAGCATTCGGAGATATTCTTTCCATCGAGCATGAATGGGGCATGCGAAACCAATCCGTTCTTCATGAACAACGTTTTTGTGAGATTTAGTCGAAGACTAATCCTTCCACAGGCTTTATCAAAGTCGTCAAGCATACGTTCCGCTCGGCTAATGTTTGGTGTTATAAGGGCGATGTCACCAGCAAAGCGAAGATGGTGTAACTGCCGACCATCGATTTTCACTGCCATATTATCCTATTCCAATGTTCGTATGATGTTCTGGAGGATGGAGGCAAATATTTTTGCCGAGATTGTATCGCCTTGCCTAACTCCTCTTTTGACGTCAATGTTAATATCGTTGTAGAATGGTGATACCTTGGCTGTGAAATTTTTGCACAGCTCACAAAGAATCTTTATGTACTGAGTAGGGACTACTTGACTATCAAGAGCTTCCAAGACTGCTTCTCTCTCAAATGAATCAAAGGCCTTCTGTAAATCGATGAAAGTGAGACAGAGCGGTCTTTTGTACTCTCGCGATACTTCAATGAGCTACCCTGTTACCATGTGGATGTCGACCATCGCATTAAATCCTTTTTGAGACCCTGCTTGCTTACATGGCAGTCCTTCGTCTGGTGATCTGTTAACCCTGTTTAGGATGACTCGAGTGAAAAGTTTGTAGACGACAGACAGTAACCAGATTGGGCGATAGCTGCCGATATCGTGCAGGTCACCCTTCTTGAACAAGAACAGGGTCTTGCTGGTCTTCCACTGAGTAGGAACCTTGCATTCGGAAAGGTAACGTGTAAGGAGCCGAGCAGTGTGATTACGAGAACTGGTGGAAGTTTCTTCAAGTGTTTTGGTCTTATCCAGTCCGGACCTGGTGCTGTTCGGTTTTTCACCGACGAAATGGCATGTCGGATTTCGGAAGGGAGAACCGGTGGTACAAAATATCCATCTTCCTTTATTTCATATGACGGAAGGTGGACGTGGCTTCCCAAGAGATCCGAGTAGTATTAGTAAATGACTTTCTCCATTGCCTTTCCGCATGCTGTAACTGTTCCATCTGGGCGCCGGAGTGCAATCATTTTGGTCTTGCAAATAGCGAAGCTTCGGTGGGCTTTGGGAATGCTTTCCCAGCCTCTGCATCTTCGACCATTACTTCTCTCTTTAAGTTCTTTTCTTACTGCCTGTCTAGATTGTTTTGCAAGTTCGGACGTTAGTTCGCGGTTCCCTGCAGCTCGTGCGACTCCACGCTGTCGTGTCAGCTAGAGTGTTTCTGGAGACAGACGTCTCTTGGTGTCTTTTGAACTTTCAGGTTTCATAGCGCCAACGTGAAGATGTTGAATGAGCCGATCGTAATCTTCGTCGATGTTATCGACAACGGCATCTTCTCAACAGCCCCCTAATGAATTGAATAAGTCCCAGTTTGCGGTGGTGCTGGAACTTAGGTTTTGGAATTTAGCGGCTTTTTCTCTTTTCCGTGAGAAATAGAATCTCGCACGAAGGAGACGATGGCCTGATCCTGTGTAGAATTTTGGGATAACAGCAACATCGGTTAGGAAATACCTTCTATTTACTATGATGTGGTCTATTTTGCTATGGTACTTTCCACTGAAAGACTCCCATGTTTAGCGTTGAGGGTGGGGCTTCTGGAACTGCGAGTGACCATGGATGGTCTTAGTCGCCATGATAAACTTAGAAAGTCGCTAACCCTGTTCGCTCCATTCCAATTCGTGGGTTCCAATATGACGTACTTCAGAAATTCTTCTTAGGCCAATCTTGGCGTTGAAATCTCCAATGATGACCTTGAAGAATGTGTGGTCTTCTCTGTAGAACTTCTCCAAGCCCATGTAGAACGCTTCGACCTCTTCTTCATCATAATATGATGTCGGGGCGTAAACAACGAGGATTGTCAAAGCTTGAATTGATATACGCCTTTTTAATCGTAAACGTCCGATTCAAGTTGTAAGTTGTTCGAATGAATCGATGTTCAATGACAAACTCGTGTTGACGAGAACGCCGACGCCGCCGAATCCTCTACTGTCGCGTGTTCCGAGGAACAGTTCTTCTCCGACATTACAGACGTCGTTGAGTGGGTGCCGTCACCTCGTCTCGGCCAAGCCGATGACGTCATACCTTATCCTTTTTGCTTGCATGAGCAATTCTTCTATAGAGAACTCGCATGCAAGTGTAAGTGCATTGCAGGTACAAATCGTCGCCTTAGTTCTTTAAAATCCAAGCAGCTTCCATTGGCCCTGAGATTTTAGCAGCCTCTCCGTACTCGTCCTAACCAACGCTGCGAAAT